TTCAAGTGGTATTTCAATTTTCATTTTGCAATTTATAAAATACACGTACAATAGTATTATAAAACCTACAAAGCAGCAATATTTGAATATGAATATAAACCTACCGTACTTTATATTCGGATATAAGTGCATGATTAATCATATATAACACGTCTTTTTTTTAAATATTACATGAAAAAAATTTGATATTCTCAAACTATGGACAACATGAAAAGATTGAATAAAAAAAATAGAAAAGAAAGGTTGAATCATATTCATTCCAAGAAAAAAAATTTCATATATGAAGTGAGTATTGCTTCCAATATATTATGGATAAATATATTGGAATTAAAATGATATTTTTATAAATATCATATTTATTCAATATTGATCACTTAAAAAAGTATTAGTTACACACTAATTTTATATAATAAAATTAAATTTATTAAATTATAATAAGACATTTATTTACTTTACATGAACTATATCATAATCTTCAATATTAAAATTTTAATAATTATAATTTTGTGATGAAACTGAGTGATCTTTGATATTTATTTTTCAAAAGGAATAATTAAATAAAATGATATCTAATAATGATTTATTATTTGATTAAATTCAGCCAATTTGTCATGATTAGGTCTATTAGAAAATATCTTTTAAATTAATTAGTTAGATTGAATCTTAGATGTCTCATGTGTGGCATTTGAGTCTAGGAGAAAAAATTACTATTTGACATGGGTAAACGTGACTTGGATTTATGCAGACATTGTATCATAACCAAGCAGCATAGTCAAACCTGTGATGGTGGAACTTATAGTTTCAAAAAAAAAATTAATATGTATATAATGATGTGTAGATATACACTCCTGAAACCTCACTCTTTAATGGTAGAACTTATAGTTTTAAGAAGTTATTTGAATATGTACATAATGACGTGTGGGTATACACTCTGAAACCTCACTCTTTAATGGTAGAACTTGTAATTTTAAGAAGTTATTTGAATATGTACATAATGAAGTGTGGGTATACACTCCTCAAACCTCATTCTTTGATGGTAGAACTTATAATTTTAAGAAGTTATTTGAATATGTACATAATGACTTGTGGGTATACACTCCTCAAATCTCACTCTCTAGAAAGTTATACTATGTATCATTTATTGACGATAACTCAATGATAGTTTGAGTATATTTTTTTCACACAGAATAGTGAGTTGTTTACAGCTTTCAAAAATTGAAGAGCCCAAGTTGAGATTAAGATTGACACAATGTGAAATATTAACGTATGATGAGAAGTATATATTTGATGATATTTGAAAATATTACAAAGAGAAATGCATTACTTGTAATCTCGTAACAATTTATATTCCACAACAAAATGTTGATATTTAGAGACAAAATTGAAAAGTTGTTTGAGAGTATACATAGTTTGTTGAGCTAATCTGGTTTATCATATAAATTTTGGCCAAAAACTGTCAAAATCATAGTATATTTGATAAACCATATATTCCTTTTGCAGTCAATTCCTTGACACCATTTGAATTGAAGCACAAACGGATGACAGATTACAATTGTTTGATAATTTTTTTTGTACTGTTTATCCACACATATCCAAGTATAGTAGGACTAAGTTAGATTTTACATCCAAGAAACGTTGTATTCTTGGATAACTAGTGGGTGTGAAAAGTTATAGACTGTGAAAATCCAGTATCGTGTAAGGTTATTGTCAGTAGTGATGTTTTTTTCAATTAGCCTAGATTTATTAAAAGAAGTATTCAATCTAATTCAATGATCTTTCAATAAGCCTAGACGGTAGTTATTAAAAGTAAATTTGATCATTATGTGATTTATGATGTGACACAAGGAGAAATTCATATACAAATGGAGCAAATTTTGAGAAACATGAAAATAAAGAAGCATGTTATTGTTGATGAGTCTCAAGTATCTGCACCAAATGATAGATTTCAATCAAAATTTTCTACTAATAGATCATGATATTGATACAAAAAATGGTGATGGCACTACGTTGATCTACAAAGACCTAGTAAAATGCAACTATGGGATGTGAAATGTAATCGTTGATTGACAACAAGATTTAAAAGCTAGTTAAGCTTCATAAAGATTAGGCTTTGATTAATTGAAAATGTATGTACAAGCTAAAATATAATCCAACAAAAGACAAGACAAGAATCTTCAAAGTCATGTTGATGGCTAGAGATTTAACAGAGGATAAAGATGTGGACTACAACAAAGTCCTTCATTTGTATTCGCTGATTCTCTAAGTATTGTCTCCTCCATCCTGTTACTGACTATGCCTAGATCTTCATCCAAGCATCAATATACTCAATCAATCGATAGCCTTTGACTCGTCGCTCCCACTCAATCATTCGGCACATCAAATTGACTGAATCAATCATATGACAAAAGAACAAGGATCTATTAGACGCTTCGTCAATTTTTTTTACTCTCCACTGAACGAATTTAAATCTCGTGTCGAGACAAGTGTAGTACACAAACAATTACCACTTCACATATTTCACAACATCCATGAGCAGAGTTCAAGTCAAAATTGTCAAATAATACGAGCAACGACTCTTGTCGTTTTACAATGAATTTTGTTTGAGTAAAAACAATACGTGCAAACACTATTGGTATAAATCACAAAACCTCACATGAAAGTCGAGCCAAACCTAGTCCACACTCGAAAACTACATGCCGATGCTAGCATAAAACCATAGTCAATCTACTAAAAGCTACTCCAACGCTCAACTCGAAGAACTAACAGTTCAACACGGGACTATACTCTCCAATGGGTTGAAACTAACCTAGGCTCTACCTAGTATTAACTCAACTAGAGTTAACCCTAATTCAATGTTAATTATAGACAACACATATACACATGAAACATGTGATAAAAGGTTTATTTTTTATTTTTTTACTTATAATTCAATTTAATTCATAGAAATTCTATTTAAGAACATGACAAATATGAAATCTAAAAATATCAACTTTAACATTTTTAACTATTAGGGGTTTTTTTATTTCTCTTTTATTGAATTGTCAAGTAAAATAAACATTCAAATCTAACATTTTTGAAAAAAAATTTAGTTGTAAGATTATTCTAGTGTCAAAATAGGTTTAAAAGAAAATGCATGAGAAATTTTTAAACATATTTGCTATGTTTACATACTCATACAGATGGATGAAAAAATAAATAAATTTATCTATTTGTTGAATTTTAACTAAAATATCATAGTAAATTCTATCTTAAATAAAATATCAAAGTATATTTTAACTAAATAGCTCGTTGAGATCCATCATGTATTTTACCCTATGGAACTTCATCAAAGACACACCGTCACCAAGGTCTAAACAAAGCTATTGTAACATAATGATGCGGGCTCTATATATTTATAGATAATCACTTCTCTCTTTTGTGAAATGTGTTGAAATGCACTCACTAGTTTCGTCTTGTAATGATTTGTTGGATGGGACTTGGTGCATACGTGGGGTATTTAATTGATAAGAACTAAAACGTTCATATGTGATGGTTGAAACTGTGCAGTGGTTGAACCGAGCATACAAAGATCTGTACTGACAAGATATGCTGGAGTACGCAGTAAGGCAAGGTGCAATAGAATATATGCAAGTCAATTGAAATGCTTTGCTCATTGATTTGGAAGTGATAAGTTCAAATAGAGTAAAATCATTACATGAGAGAATTTCATCCGTTACACTCACGAAGTCCGATGATATGCAGTGGATTTATTCGAAGATTGCGAGTACAGACGTCATCTACATATACAAAGTGGCACACAAGGAGGAATTATAAACCAGTTAAAGCTTCATCAGAATCAATACTTTCTACATGCAAATTTTGGATGTGTTGTCGAAGTTGATGTTACAATCTTTTCATTGCTCCGTGGATATGTAGCTTACCGAGTTATACCAAGTTCGGAGCTCCTAATGATTTTTGTCGAGATGTTTACGTAATGTTCATTCGCAGGGAGATCGGAGATTGTATCTTGAACCATGTTAATAGCTGCATACATGAGCTTCGAGTGCATGCAAACCTTGTTTTGAGTTCCATGATGTTGCTTGTTGCTAGAATGAGGCCATAGAATCCACAAAGAAAACCTATCAAAAATCAGCAACTCCCACAATCTTTTTTTGCACTAAAAAAAATAGTGTTGCAACGACCCGCAGCCTCATCATTCCAACTCCACTCCTTCTCGTTCCTCCTCTTCCCTCGCTGCCCGCCTTCTAAACACCTCTCTCTCTATTAGAAATCATAGTTGGTCGATATTACAACATGAATGGCGTATGTCAATAAAATGATAGGTGATGGTAAACATTAAGCTATTTGTGTTACGCAGGTATTACATCAAATAATTTTCTTGAAAAAAATTATGAATTTGCTTTCACATAGTTTTATAGTTGATAAGATTTAAGACATAAGAAAAATTTGATTATGTTAGTATTTTTAAATATTTAATAAAATATTAAAGATGAAATCCAACTCTAATGTAATTCAATCATATGATGTATTGTCTCAAAAAATGATAGCTATTATGAATAAGAAAGAATTATTAAATTACATATTGAAAGCAACATATGAGATATGTTACTTTTGATTTTTAACGTTAAAAAAATGTATATATAATGTCTTATTTCTAGATAATTTAAAATATTTATAATGTATTAATCCAGAAATTTATTATGTACAAAATATTTCTTACATTTTAACTATTAACTGTGAGATAATTATTGAAAATTCGGAATTTTTATTGTAATCATATGTTCTTAATGCGGGATGAAAATATCTAATGAACATATTGTTGAAACAATATGAGATTAAAAGTAAGATATGGCCAAAAGATTTAACATTATTTTAATCTTTTTTTTTAGAAAATTTTCCGGAGAGAACACGAGACTATGATGGGTGTCAAGTAAAGAGAATGAAGTATATTTTACATTCTAAAGAATGATCAACGAACTTTTTGGAATTGGATACTTACAGTGAATTGCCAGTGACCGCAGTTTATTATCATTTCTCTGAAAAGTTCGCAATGGAAGGTTTCGTTTCTCCTTTGCCGGTGGATCGTCAATGGAATGCGACAATGCGCCAGGAAGGTAGATTGAACCGCTTTGTATTTGCAGTGATATAAATATTTTTATCTAATAGTCAAATTTAGAGCACAGTTCTCAAGCCATGGCCATTTAATGATCGTTGCACGCGAATGCAGCAGCGTTCTGAATAAAGTAGACGCAACTTTTGATGGTTCAGTGATTTCACACTGTTGAGTCAATCTCGATAGTAAAACGGCCCAGCGTGATCTACAGAGTGTCTCTGTGAAATGTCTGAGCCTTTTCCTTGAGGAGGATGTCTTCGTCTCTGGCGTCGTACTTTTCTGCAATGTTCACTTTTCCCCAGGTTGAGTATTCTAGTGCTCGGCCGTTTTCTACAACCAAACTGAAAAGCCACCGAATCGGCCAGATGTTGCAAGCTCTGGGACAACTGTGGCTGCAGCGAACCACGTACCATAGGGTCCAGGCATGATTCTTAAGAATCGTTCCTGGAGGGCCTTTGTCCTACGTTCAGAACCCGGACCCGTCGGGCCCATCGCTCTAGAAAAATCAGGAGACCATTGATCCCTTTTGGATGCAGTCAGCTACCAGGCTCAACCTACCAAACTGCTACCAATTTTCGAGGCAAATCTCCGAGCCAGTTCGCAAAATATCATTGGTCCCGGATCATGAGGGCGAAGTTTCACTGGGAAGTTCACTGTCCGAGGATCCATGCATCTGTAGTACTGCATGTGTACCAGGCTCACGGCCCATCATGTCGGCTTTCCGCTCCGGGATTGTATGATGTCTGCTGTTGAAGAATCGAAGTTTCTTCGGCATGACAGGCTTCTTCACGGTGGAATATTTTGGGGCAAATATCTTTTAAAGATTTAACATATGCCCCGAATAGTGTCGAGATAAACGAGAGCTCGACACATTGAGCCATGGAGCGCGAGAACGGAGCTCGAAACGGGAGGAAACTTTGAAGAAAAAGCCAACCCTGTGCTGGAAACAATAAAATATCTGGGACGAAGACCATATGTCAGCCCTTCCGTTCCTCGTCGATCGCTGATCAATGATCCGGGGCCGGGCTACAACGCGAGGTCGACCCCGGCCTGGACCTTTATTTCATGGCAGAAAAGAGCAGATGCAAGGGCTCCCACTGTCCCGCCCCCCCCCCCCCCCCCCCCCCCCCCCTCCCATCGCCCGCCAATTGAACAGTAACGGTCGCAACCTACCCTACGGCCCGACTCCCGACTCGTCGAGATTTCTGCCACATGCGCGATGAGGACACTGCCAGATACCGAAGCAGCAGCAGGTCTGTTTCTCGGCGCTCGTTCAATCGCCGACCCACAGCTTCGAAATTCTTCGAAATTCTCATGCATGCTCAGGCGTATAGGCCGCACACAGGTGTGTGTTGCCAGCGCCACGACGCCATCGATTTCCGGGCCGCGACTGGACATAACAAGTCATGTGCCAAATAGGGATATTCGGATATTCGACAATTTCGAGAACACTCCTCCATTTCCTCTGTGCGGCATATGGAATATTGTCACCAACGCCCGGACGTCTTGTCACGTGTGAGATCTGACATGGTGTTCATTATTGTTACGCTTCCCGTCGGGAGGATCTTCGAGACATGCGAGGCGACGGACGCTCATGAAAACCTCGCTCCAGCGCTCGAAGCTCGGCCGCTCCGGACCCTCCAAGTCTAGCAACCGAAAATTTCCACACGCTTGGTAGCATCGATTTGCGCCGAGGACGGAAGTTCGCCCGCGGCCTACACGGTTGATCTTTTAATCCTGGCAGCTGTAGCGCCCACCCCGAGAAGGAAGCATCGAATTGCAGTAAACACTGACCCGGTATATTGAAGACCGTGGTCTGATCTGATATCTCAGAGTTTATATCTCATGTGCGATGCATCTCCTCGTTCAGCAAGTTATCTCAGACTTTGCACTGTGACGAAGGTTCCTGCTGGAGTGCGCGGGTCCAGATTCGCCGTCTGCCTTGCCTACTTTCGCTTCGGAGATGCAGATGCTGTAATCCAATCATCCGTTCGAGCTTACACTTCTTGACTCGTGTCCCTTGCCTCGCGAGGACGAATTTTCCCACACGTCGCAAATAAATGAATGATTGGAATGGCTCAGCGACGCGAGATTATCCTTGGCTGCAATTGTGATGCACAATATACTGTTGCGATTTTCTTCTCCTCTCGAGCGTTCGTTCTGCTGGTTTTGCATGACAGATCCACGCCCCTCGATTTATTCCTGGAATCTTCATTCAATAGGTAGGCACTGCTCTCACGTAAGCAGCTTCAACTAGAATACTATTAACTCCTGCATGAATGTGCAACGACGAAACCTCATCGTCAGGCCATCGTCCTTGAATTGCATGCCTCCTCTTCTTTAGACGTACTCCTCCTCCACTCGTCAGTAGGAGGAGGACTGAGACCTTCAGCATTGCACAAGAAGTCTTGAACTACTCCGGATCCAAGATCACGCTCCGCTACAAAGCGGCATACTGCTGTAGCTATTCCGCTCTGAGATACATGGCATGGATTTCTCAGTGCGACTTGTCGCTAAACCGTCAGACGACCAAGTTAATTCCAGCCGGTAACTTCGGAAGCAAAATTCTTGCTTCTTTCCGATTGGCGCGAATCCGTTATTGGAGTCGATGATATTCACTCACCCGCGCATGCTTCTCGAGCAGCTGAATTAGGTCTCTGCGTTGGGTCGAGGAGTAGTCTTCAGAGTTGCCACAGCATCTATGGGCCCTTCCCAGTGATTATCCGCCAGTCACTCGTGCACTCTTCTTCCTCCGGCATGTGACTGACTCAAATCCTGCTGTTGATCTAATTCACAGTCGTCCAAAAGCAGTTAATGATGGTACTCGGGGCTTTTGGAAGACCCTCTAGATCCTCAACATCATCGCTCGACTGTAATCAGCAACCAAACTTTTGTTAACAAATCTTCTGTATCAAGACAGTATGATCATGCAGTATTTTACAAGTATATACTATCGTAAATGTACTTGCAGACAAGCGGCTCGTTCATAAAGTAAATGATAGGCTGCATTAACAGCACTAGTTTCATCGAATAATCGTCAGGAGAGTTTCTTACAATTGATTAAATAAGTCAACTTTTAGCTAAACAGCTGATAACTCGAGAATTTTCAAACTATTTAGTTTACAGCAAGAAGACGAGGTAAATTCACAAGGTGTACTTGACAGGAAGAAATTTTGCCCGTTCGGTAAATCTTTATCTGATGGGGCCCTGCTGAACAGGTCAAGCTCAATAAAAAAACCAGCATTATCGTCACGAACGACAAAGGAAAACTTAAGAGGAGTGCTTTCATTCGTCAAAGCTTTGTCGAATGATGTTGCCTGATGACTGACACAATTCTCTATATTGATATCTTTACCTATTATAACTTATTTCTGTAAAGAAGATAATTTATCCGTAGCAGCCCAGTTCTCTTGTCCAGGCTATCACAAAAGAAACAAAAGAGGAAACGGAAGTCGAACATAGGTTGCAAAGCAATCAGCTAACGTTAGGAAAACGAGCAGCTACAGTACCGCGGTTTTTTAACTCAACGAGGGAGCAGAAGAAACGACGAAGCATCTCACGCAGTTCGTTCATTCTGAAGTGATGTCTTCTGTATACACTATACTTCAATAGATTGAATATTAACTTTACTTTGTAGTAAGTCGAATTTTATTATAAAAGTCTTCTCCATAAACTCTTTCAAGTAAGAAGAAACTTCAAAGGTATCAAACATTACATCCAAATTATAGTTACCACCTCCAAAACCACTGCAGATTATGTATTTCTAGTATAGTGAACCATGACGGCGATAGTGATGGTACATTTATTCTCACAACATTATAAAACATTCATACAAAGAGCTTGGAAAATTCAACGTACAACAAAGTTTATCTGAATAATCTATGAGAAAGCTTCGTAATAATTTACAAAAAGATTCTTTTTGCTAGGCCTTTGCATAGCTCACCGCCTTTGAGTGCAGCAAGGGACGAGTTAGAAATGCATTGTCTTCACTCCAATATTAGTTTCTCGTGTATGAAACTAAATCAACTCATATGAGCTATTTGGAATCACAGATTCCACACTTCAATCATTTCAAGTACATAGCTTCACAATGAAAGTCTTTGCCTGTTTTAGTTCCTTGAATCTAATAAATACACTTTCATGTATACAATACTTCCAGATGAACCGTGTCAAGCCGAGAGAATTACATATCTTAGAAAACAGAGTCAACTCCTTGTCCTCGAATTTGTAACGGCCGCTGGTTTTCACAGAATACGATTGAAATTTCGAGAGAAAACCGTACACCATATGATCTGATCTAACCGTCTCTGTACATGTCTGATTCAAATAAAAACACAGAGTACATTCAGCAGTGTACCATTATTTCTTAAAAGCTGCATGCACATCGAAACAGTCATATCCAAGTTTGAAACTGTCATGAAGGAGTCAAGGATACAGAAAAAAGAAATTGTAAAAGAAGTGGAAGTGCTCATTAGTCAACTGGAAAGCGGTAATGCATCATGCTTGCATTTTATGATCGAAATCATGAAGCCTTTGGGTAGATGGGGGACAGTTGAGAGGAGACGAATTTCTCGAAGTATGAGCCACATTTTATGTTTGCGTCTGGCGATTGTCCTCAGATCTATTTTCGCTGATGCACAAAATCGGAATCGAAACTTTCAGATGTATTTCAGAACACAAGAGCAAATCATGTGCGTGGCAAGTGCTTATAATTTGGCTGCCCGTGTCCTCATAAATTCAATACAAGGAACGAAGTGAGGGGGTGCTATATGATTCCTCCGGTAGAGTACTGTAAGGTCAAAGCCGACATTGTGTGTGAAACACGGTGAAATAATCCTGTTCCTGAGAAAATAGTGAGCAATACTGCTTTCAGACAAGGATGAAGAAGTCAACAGCTGGAGTTCCGCAGCGTAAATAGATTCGATGCTGTCAGTTCAGCATAAGAACATCTACAGCATTCAGGGTTCGCGGAGATGGGATGAGTTGCAGCGACTCGAGTGCCGAGCACGGAACCATGAGGCAATCTACGCATTGCATGATATCACAACATCGACATAGAATACACGAGCATATCTAGGCTACGATGTTTTTGCCAGGTGCCTTCCCATGTGCAGAGCACATGCCCTATCCACATCGGTTTATAGAGCTGCGGCACTGCAATGCGATAGAGCCGAGAGCTCGACCAACAAACAAGGAAAGAACATGGAGACAAGTACGTAAACTATGCGGTGAAGATCTTTTCAGTTCGGTGCTAGGGATTTGTTGGTAGGGAGGCACTTGAGACGGATGGACTACGAAGCTCCAGACACAATCCGCCTTAGAAATGCCAAGAGCAATTGGAAACCGAGGCCAGATGGGGATGCCTGTTTTATACCAACAGCCACGAATAGAGTCTAGACGCGAGTGAGGTACCGAAAAGCCCCGGAAGCTTGGTTAGGGGCTAGAAACAGTGTACAGCAGCAGAATGTAGACATGTCGTTCCATGTTAGTGAGCTACAAAGGGGAAAAGAAGACGAATAACTGGTGGGCCAAAAGGGCGGCAACAGGAACTTCAACATGGGTGGACGTAGCATCGACGGAAGCGCACATATGCTCGACCAAAAGTTGATCCCAGCTACAAGAAGTAGCTCACTAGTAGACCCGAAATTCATGCAGCAGCGCTGAGCAGCAACAGCAGCGACGCAAAAAAGCAAAGTTTAGTGCTGCATCATTGAACTTTGCATCTCGAACTTTGAACTACAAGTCAACTAACTCCCCAAAAAATCAGGGCTACTGTTGCGCGATTCCGAAAAATAATTATAATACAGTACGTTGCAAGAGAAAGAAAGGACAGGAATGGAAGCATTGCTGCAGGCAAAAGGACCACCTCGTGCGTTGTTTCTTTGCCTGGAACAGCGCCATAGTGCAATGCAATAAACATGCTAGAAAATCTGTGACACATTCTGAGATTCAGGCCGTTTCTTTAGTGTTGAACTGCTCACCGCATGGTCCCTCGGTCTGACTCCCCGGTCCTCCTAACGTTGACAAGTGTTTCGTTCTTTGGTCGCGAGACAACTTTTAAACTTCTGAACTCTTCGGAGAGTTTCGATATGACGGGGGACCACTGGTATAAGGAAGAAGAGGGAAACTCTTATCCCATTTTCCATCACATCCAAATGTTCTCAGAGTAATCAGTTTTGAAAGAATTTTACTGGAGTTAGATTGAACTTAATCAATCAACCAGAGAGTTATTACATACAATATAGAGTAATCAAGTGGAAGTAGTAAATTCTCAGGCTCGCTAGAGTGGTGTGTGATCAATTACACCTTGCAATATATAAAGTATATGTTGAATATGTTAAAATATTCTTCTATGAAAATATGCATGATACTTGAAATTTTTTTAAACTCTAGATTTGATTGATTTCATTATATGTATTTAGGACGAAATTTGATATATATTCAAAAATATAATTGAAATCCAAAGAAAATAATTTTGTCACAAACTTTTCCTCTCAAAATGAAGATAAGCGGTTTGATGTTATCTTTTCTAAAAAATCCATAAGAAGAATTTAACAAGCTTCTCAAATATATTGAAATTTGACACATGTGTACATCAAAATACATGTATAATATGCAATGTAACTACAATGACATTTACATATTTGGCATTTTAAAAAAGTCAATCATTATTGATTTGCAATATGAACTAAGAAATGAAAAAATGTAAAAAAACAATTAAAACTCATCAAATGATGGGAATGGATTTTCAATTTTTCCTTCATACTAAGCTCTATTTTTGTCAAAAATATTTTGGAATTAAACAGGATTTTGAATATTTCAGAAGAAAATGAACTTCATATTGGACACCACATTAAAATTAAATTTTATTGCCTAAATTTTACTGTTGTTTTATTTTTAAACATATCTATCATAATTTTTTCAAATCCTGATAAATTTCAAGTAAATTGTTTAAATATTTAGATTCACATAAAAATAAACAAATCAGTCTGAAATAAAATGCTTGGACTAAGAATAATTTCAGGATTCATATAGAATTAATAAAAATACAATTATTCTGTAATATTTGAAATATTTCATGGTTTTGCACATAAAACAATATTTTTTTGTGATCTATCATTGGTACTTGAAAATAAATGTATAATAAATATCGATATTTATCGAAGTATAAATTTTGTATGTCTACTTTCTGATTGTATATGTTTTGTGTCAATCCTCTCTTAAAAGTATATATTTGACTATTTGATATTTATTCTACAGATTGTTTCATATTAGAGGTAAAAAGTTCAAGAAGTAAATATATCATACATTATAGTTTCATGATAATAATGTTTGACCCCTAACTATTTGAGCACAGTTATTTTATCTAGCATTCATATAATCAAATTAGATCTTCCAACAATTCACAATTCAGAACAACGAAAAATTGATTTTGTTTCAAGTTTTGAGCCATGTTTTGTAAACTTCATACTTATAATTATTTTTTTTGATAATTACATTTCTGGAAAAACATCCATTTAATTTTTTGGAATTGAAAGTATAAAACATGGCATTTTTTATATTCTTTTCTGATTATTTCATAGAACCAAGTGTTCATTTAACTTTTTCAAGAGATTGTATTTTATTCTTAACATTTGCAATTAATTGTAATCAATTTTTATTTTTTTAAATTATTTTTCCAATATCTTTGAATTTTGAATGAGATTTGTGTTATTATTTAAAAAAATATTAATTTTCATAATAAATGATGCAGTGCTTATAATTTTAGATCAATATACAGTTGCAAATATGATTTAAATTATCTTCAAAATCTATTATGCACTGTGAATACAAGATATATTAAATAGCACACTCAAATACTAAGTAAGATATGATGTAGATGTTTTAATAATGATGAGACTAATTTTTTATACATCGATGACATTAGAAATGTATCCTTTACATTGATGGAACATGTATTTTTATAAGCTGTCTGGTCATTCTTCATACATACTTTCATTACTCACATTCCATTTAATCATTGGAATGTGTTAACACTTTTGCTTTGGCAAAGTGCAATTTAGTGTATTTTGCCTTGACCACTAGTGCTTTTTAACTAACACAAACATGTATTCTAAAAAGATGAGATTTATTTTCACTTTGTTTATCCTTATAAATCTGAGTAATTTTACATGTGTGAATAAAGAAGAGGTAAGGTAATACTCACATGTGCAGATTATGCTAATTTCGATGCAAGATATGTCTTCACGAACAATGATTCAATTGAAATGCGGATGGAAAAAATTACATTCATGATGAACGCATGACATCATCATGAATGTAATTTTTTCATACTGATTAGACAACAACTAACATGAGGAAACATTGAAGAGATATGAAAGTGAATAGAAGAAGATAATACTTATATTTGGTTCAAATGAACTAGATAACTTACACTTGATGATTATTGATATTACATGTATGAAAAATAATACAATCACTTTAGGCTATGTCTTGTATTTTGTCTATGAAGGTTTAGTTTTTAGAGAGAATTGCAATTGATCTCATTAAGTTGTTGCTTAAAAGTATTTAATTCAAATTTTTTAATAAATTTCATCAAAATTAATAATAATAATAATAATAAATAATTAATGCTATCTATAGTTGAGCAATTTCATTATATCATTTTATAGATTACTTTAGATGGATAAATTATTTACAAATAAAAAAAAGTCACGATTCTGAATAAAGAGTAAACAAAGTACAATGAGTCTATGCTTTGTAAACCATTTGACTTAGGTCTTGACTGGATCTTAGACTTAAATGCATCATATTTAAAAAGATGTATTTCATTTGATGCTATTGCGGGGTAGCCCTATGTTACCCTTTTGATTTCATCCAAGGAAGATCTGATGTAGTTTAATTTCTTGTTCAATTAGCGTAAATTAAACGAAGAATTTTTTTGGGTGCAGCCCAATGAATTTGCACATATTTTCGGGTCTAGTGCCCTAGAGTGATGGCAATTACATTCTTTGACGATCAAAAGTTTTGCAACGCTCCCCGCCCAGCAAAAAGACGAGATTGAGAAAATGGTCTTTTTACGCTAGGCGTCAAAAGTTTGAAGTATCAACATCACGAGGAATTTGACCTGTGGTTGGAAAATATCTCGCGAAATCGTTCAGAAGTGGTGTAGATCCCCTGGGACGATAAAATAAGCTATAAATGAAGGTTAGTTATAATGAATGACATGGAGTGGGTGGGGCTCATGTGCGAGGCCGAAACGAGACCAAGAAGAAGGACGGGACGGGGCCAGAGCCCAAAATTATGTAGAGACTCAGAGCGAGCATGAAACATATATTAATGCGAGGACAGGCGAAATATTAAATCGCAACCGAGGGGCCCAGCCTTGCGAAGGGAGCGGGACAAGACAACAACAGTACAGACTGTACCGTGAAAGGAGAAGCAAGCAGGCAGTCGGTTGTACAAGGAGCAGGTCCTTGAGAAGGACATGTCCGGGGTTGGGGCCTGGGGGGCTAAGGGCCTCGGGGCGCTCAAGTCCGCGGACGGAGCGAGCGGCACTGCCTGCTTGGCACTGGTGCCACTTGGTACAGGACTAGTTTGCATCTGACCGGACTGGTCACTGAACCTGAACGCTGCCGGAAGGGCCTCGTCCTGAGCCATCTCGCAAAAGCTCAATCCCCATTTGCCAGCTGAAAAAGAGAGCGGAGCGCTCCACTCGGCGGCTGCGCTGCTCTTCCGCTGCTCCTGCTCCTGCTCCTGCTGGTGCTGCTTCCTCTTCGCGCGCGGGCGGGGCCTGCCTCGGGCGCCGGGGGCTGGAATCGCTGTGGTTTGTGTGTTCCAGAACACATCGGGCGTCGGGCGACTCCTCTGCCCTTCCTCTCTCTCGCTCGCTCCTCCTCCCTGGGTCGATCTCTCGCTCGCTCTCGCTGTGGCCGCTTGTGGGACTCGCTCGCTCGCGCCTCTTGCGCCTCTCGTCGGCTGAAGAGCTCGTCGGAGGAGGTTGTCGATGGGGAGTACGGAGAGGGAGTGAGTGAGTGAGTGAGGGAGGAACGGGAGAGGAAGGAAGGCGAGGGAGGGAGGGAGGGAGGAGGAGGAGGAGGGTGGCAGGGGGGGGCGCGGGGCAGGCGCGGGGTTGCCACCGGGTATTTTATGGCTGCAGAGCTTTCGAGCATTTCCCAGAGCAATCACTGCTCTCGGACAGCATCCCAGTCCCAGCTGGCGCAGTGGCTCGGGGCGGCCAGGCGAGAGAGGAGACTGCAGTAGGCGGAGAGTGTATGCGACAGGAGGATTTGTAGTAACGGCAGCAGCAGCTGCTCCGACAGGGCGAGGGCAGGACGAGCTCGTCGGATGTTGGACGAGCGAGGGAGTGGGGCAGGGACGGGGCTCGCGTAGGACGAGGAGGAGTTGGCGGTGGAGGTGGAGGTGGAGGTGGAGCATGCGGACGCAATGTTGCTCCGAGTGCTGTAGATGCCGTGCGTCGCGGCTGTAGGGATTCCTGCGGATTGGGAGGACTAGACGAGTATCGCGACCTTCTCTGAGTCGACCGAAGTTTGTGTGCCTGATGGTCGGGCCGAGGATTTCGGTTTGAGGATAGGCAGCTGCTAATGTATCCTCGGAAGATTAGAGGACTTCGTTTCGTGATTTTGTTCGGACGAGAATTTGCGAAGCGCTAAGCGGCGGGCGGGCTCTTCAATATTTCAGCTGTCGGAATGGAAGACTCGAAGATGTCGAGTAACGAGAGACCACGCCGACGCGTGCTATTTGTTTCGGCGGGGGCGAGTCATTCTGTTGCACTTTTGAGTATGACATTTACTCCTATCGTTACCTTAACCTTTGCAGATTCGAGCTGACGCTGATATTGCAATTAAATTAGCTGGTCAATTCTTCGTGGCCCCGGTGCAGCCATTATCTTTCTTCTCTAGCTATTTGCGTAGTGCAGTGAATGAAGAAGGGCCCTTTTTTTCGCTCATTGTTTCTTCTGTCCAATTTTTTTGAATCTAAAGGCCCCTGTAGCTGCAATAATCGTTCGGCTCTCAGAGTAGTATCAATCTCCTTCGGCCTTGGTCTGAAACGAAAACTCCTTCTTTGGCTCACAAGTCTCTGTGTGATCGCCAGCTATCGGGCATTCTAGGACCTTAACGTTATTCGTAGGGGCTGAAGACGGTCCTCAATGACGACCTTAACTTTCTATATATTTAATTTATAGAAAGGAGCATTCACAAGTACATGAAACTGAAGCAGTCGTCTTCGCTCAGAGAGGTTCCAAACTTGTGTGCTCTTTCACTTGATTTCCTACTTTTGACTGATGGCCACGTTGATTAAATGAGTCAGGAGGAGCATCAGCACGAACCTTAACATGTTCCGCTTTCGATCCTCTTTTGACTTGATCTCATCCGCATTTCTTCATGCTGCACTGGTCGTTGACAAGTAGTTGGGCTGCTGAGTAGAAAAATTAGTAATGCGACAGTCAATTTCTGCTGGGAGAGGATTATTTTGCTGCTCCATGTTGTTCGCAACGTGCATTTTACCTCATCGATAATCAATTTTGTTTGTTTGGTCTTCAGTAATACTCGTGTAGAACGGAGGGTCTTTTCTCCTTCATTCAGCAGATTTTGTCCCTACTCTCTGAGCTGTCGTGATAAATTGTCGTTGGCGAATGCTAAGAGGACCCACACTAGTAGTCACATCTGTCCCCTTGACCCTCGTTTATTTTAAGCTCAACTTTTACCACACGATTCGTCGTAGAAAGTGGATTGTAATCACGCCCACAATATTTTGGGCGATTTGGAGGCATCGAGGTCCCATGAGGTGCCAACAGATGGAGTTGGTCGTCAGGCTAAAGACAATAAAGTATGGAGATTATGCTCGTCTTTTCCTCCTGTGTGAAAGTGTCCGTGGTCTGAGCTAGTCACGGGTTTAGATTAAGGCCTAGAGATAATATCAATACATAAATCAATAGTCGAGCATATGTATACCCGTACTTTCTGTTTGTTGTTCTTGCCAAGGTCGAGTTAATTATTGGTTTTTCTTTATAGCCGGAGACACACTCTAGTTTAGGCTGGACGAGAAGGCGGGTTTGGCGATGCTATTGAACGACACTCTCATAATTGTCAGCACTTTAGGAGCTCCAAAATCTTCAAAGATAACAGACGATACATTATGTTGTAGTCGATGTTGCGTTGTATGTAAACCTCCTGGATCCTTACTTGTGTGGTCCTTTAGATATTTTCAAGTTCTGTACGGACTGAACCGTTCATATTGTTTTGAAGCTGGCGATAGTGTTTGCTCATGGGGCCGTGGAGAGGACGGGCAACTCGGGCACGGTGACGCAGATGAACGGCATCTGCCTACAATTATTAGCACGTTGGGAGAATGTGAAATTTCAGCTATTACTTGTGGGGCTGATCACACTACTGCATATGCGGACTCTACTAGAACCGTTTACAGCTGGGGCTGGTGAGGCGTTTTCCTCAATTGTATTTGTTTTTTGCTGGCTGTCACAAGATTGGTGTGTTAGGATTGGCGTGTAATGTATTATTTCTTGGTCTTTATGATATAAGTTTCTCATCTGTTGCCTCAAACTGACACAGGGGAGACTTTGGAAGACTTGGGCATGGTAACTCTAGTGATCTTTTCATACCCCATCCCATCAAGGCGCTAAGAGGGATTGAAATCAGCCAGATTGCCTGTGGAGACAGTCATTGTTTGGCAATCACCACACAGGGTGACGTACACAGGTACTAGGATGCCTGTGGTGCTGATTTGAAGAAATGTGTTACAGTTTTAGAGCAGGATGCATTGAAGTGCATTGTAAATATTTTGGAGTTTGGTCTTTGAGGGAGGGAAGGAAAAAAGGATGTCCTCTGAGTTGGTGTTACATGATAGCCCAGTGCTCTTAGTATCTCAAGGTAGTCAACGTCATCTTTGCCGGTCGATCTGCCGTTTAAAGTAACTTCAGTGAAATTACTTTTTGTATGACGTCGCATAATTGGAACTTTTATCTTCCTTATCGTGCAGCTGGGGGCGGAACCAAAATGGACAACTTGGACTAGGGCATAATGAAGACTCCTTGGTACCGAAGAAAGTTGTTGCATTCGAGGTTTGCGAACAGATCATTCAACCAAGAGTTTCAGTTCGTTTTAGTGTTGTCCACTGCTTGCATTTTTATGAAGAAAGTTGTTGCATTCGCGGTTTGCAACCAGATCATTCAATTAAGAGTATTATTTCGTTTCAGTGTTGTCCACTGCTTGCTTTATTATGTATGGTCTGATAGTCACAGGATGTTATCGGTACCTTTGTCCCCTACTTTTTGATGCTAATATTCGACTCTAACATGCTGCTTTGGTTGGCAGGGCATAGCTGTCAAGATGTTGGCTGCAGGGGCCGAGCACACCGCAGCCGTGACGGAAAGTGGGAAGCTTTATGGTTGGGGATGGGGTCGATATGGAAATCTAGGGCTAGGTGATCGAAATGATCGATTAGTCCCAGCCGAAGTTGCCGGGGTGAATGTGAGTTATGCCTTGACAGCCACACCTGTCAGTTTTCACAGACGTCTATTGGTCATGTCTCAACAGCTTTCTTCGCTTGATGCAGAATGAAAAGTTCACCCTTGTTGCGTGTGGCTGGCGACACACCATTGCTGTCGCGGAATCGGGAAATCTATACACCTTTGGATGGAGCAAGTACGGACAGCTAGGACATGGAGATTACTTGGACCATTTAGTTCCTCACCAAGTTGCTGCCTTGAAGAACAATCCGATTGTCCAGGTATGCATTTATGTGGAAGGTCTTGGGGATAAATCAAATCACTGCGCCAATATGCGTAGGTCCCAAAGTTCTCGTTAGAACAGTCCACCAAGATGGCTTGTTTATTGTGGCTCAACTCTTTCATACACTATAACTGGTTCATACTCTGCTTCGACTAATTAACTTCGTGTCTTCGTTCATCAGATCTCCGGAGGGTGGAGGCACACAGTGGCGTTAGACAGTTCAGGACGTCTTTATGGATGGGGTTGGAATAAGGTGAGCTGGATGCAGAGGGCAACATTACTACATTTTGCACTATATAGGCTGGACAATGCAGTACCGAGGAAAATTTCGCGAACTTAAATTGCACATATTCATTCTCTTTAATGGTCTCCTTAACTTGAGAAAATACTTACAAATGTGCCCTTGCATTGTTTGCAGTTCGGGCAAGTAGGAGTTGGTAACACCGATGACCAAACTAGTCCGCAATTAGTGAAAAACCTTGCCGAAGAGGTATGCAGATTTTTTTCTGTACGGAATGCATTGGTTTAATGAGAATGAAGGGATAACGGGCACGACTGTCTTACTTTCTGCTTTTCGTCGAGGATTCACAGACACATACAGTTGGACTTTTACGAAGCCTAGCTCTCAATTATAAGATTCGGTTTCAATTTAGAGTAGGACGTTGACGATTTCGTCTTAGATATAGAGGATCAGAAGCCTTCGAGCGTTGTATCTGGTGGTTCCTTCGTGGTATTAGCGACGTTTTTTCTAGACAAAATCCAGTACGAACTAATGAGGTAATTATCATAATTAATTATCTGCTGTATCATATTTCATTAGATTACCTGTGAAAGATACAGGCTATAGAGGTGTCCGTCTCTCAACTTAGTACTTGGTCCCAACTCGGTACTTATTCGCACTGTTTTGTTTGTGGATGATATTAATTGCAGAAAGTGAAGCAGGTCTCCTGTGGGTGGAGACACACAGTTTGCATCACTGAGAGGGGAAATGTGTTTTCATGGGGACGCGGGACGAGTGGTCAGCTGGGGCATGGTGATGCAGTGGACAGGTATCCCTTTAAAGTCCATATCCTGAATTTAAATGCTACTCACTTGGGAGTGATGTATATTACGCCACGCGGACGTCTGATTCGCATGATGTGTAACCAGTGTAAATGAAGTGTTTTTCATCCGTTCTCACTCTATTTTGGTCGTCTTTGCAGAAGTTTACCGAAACGCATAGAGGCTCTTAGTGCAGATGGACTTGCTTGCCAAGAACTTGAAAGTTCTAGGACAACAACCTCTACAGGTGCGCTGAATGTTCCAGCTCCTAGGAGTGCTGGTTGGGTAGTTTGTTTTATGGCTTTTGAAGTGGCCTGCGTGGATAACAGGTCTCTAAAGCTAGGCAGACAAGCTTTATCACTGGTCTTTGTTTTGTTTATGTTCTTTGCATATTTTTATTTGGTTCATTGGGTCTTCATCAGGGTCTCATTGGATCTCACCGTCGGAAAGATACGCTGTTGTGCCGGTTGAAACGGTGAGATCGCTTTCCAGGAATATGCACCAAAATGCAAATGTATGTGATCTTTTACCTCAATTCTGCCTGGTCTTCAGGTTTTTCTAGAGAGAGAGAGATTGAGAGAGATTGAGATTCTGTTGCTTATATATGTCCTTATCTTGTTCATGTCGTTTGACGTAGAAACAGATGTAGCATTTGACTTCTATCTGCTGATTACTTAATTACGCTTTGTAGGTTGGAGATAATGAAGTACCATCATCGGATGCTAGTGTTCCTGACACAGATGTTAAACGGCTACGGACGGGCTTTTAATCATTGGTAGGCCCCACTCACTGAGCATAAGGAAACATGATGTACCTGTTCACTGTGTACATGGCTGGGTTATATGGAGTGCTCTACTATTTGCGATTCCACGGTCAAGAGATTTTGAAACCAGTTGGTGCCGGGGCTTTTGAGTTGGTGTTGTATCCCCCGTAATCTCCAGGAATGTGCAGTTCTTGCAAGCAGGCTCAATTCGACACTTTTATCTAGTCTGGATGATATCATCACGTTAGCCTTGTCTTCAGAACGTTCTGCCCACTGAACAGTGTAAACTCATGGTTACTCTACTTCACTCTCTCTTTCTTTTTATTGCTTAGCTCTCGGATGTTATATATAAAATTTCAGTAATTTTATCCACTCAGACTTTGAAGATTTTTGGAGTTCTTTCTTATTTTGAGGGCTGGTGTCTCATAGGTGGACTTGTTTTCTAGCCATTTTCGATCTAATGACCTCGTGCTTTTTACGCCGGTTCACCTTTCATTCAAAGGTGAAGGTTGAATGTGTTGATGAGATTTCTTGAATAAGTTATTCTCGAACTTTAGTAAGTCTGAATCCCAATAATAGGTGACCTACCTCCCCAAAACTTCTGGCTGGAAGGCTGGCGCTGTCTCTTCTAGTTAGGGAGATATTGCTTGTTACGTAAGTTCATTATGGATGTTGTAGTTTGCAGTTTTCGTCCAACTGCAAGTTTTTCTTCTGGTTTTTGTATTCTCGTCTTGCTGAAAGTTTGGCAGTTCATAAAACTGAATTGGGTTTTATATTGCAAGTTCAGATGAGCTTTCTGTACGGCTGCAAACGAACCGAGAGATTACAATATAAGTAAATCTCATGAAACCTTTTAATGAACATTCACTGTCTGGATGTTTTCCAAGATCAAATACCATCTTAGCTTCTTTCACAAGCGTAGCGAGTGGACTTCAACACAAGTAGTCGTATACAACAGTGAACTGAAGTTTCTCGTTGTTTCTGGGGAGGATGAGTGTATAATCCCATCCTAGAAACGACGGGGCAGCAAAGCGAGCTGAATGAACCAAAAATATCTGTGAGATGCATTGACTACTGTGATTTTAATGTGGTATGAAGATCATTAAAAGTCGTAGTGAATGTACTCCATGGCTGGAACTTTCACGACCGCACAAACCCGCAAAGAAAGGAGCCGAAATCCTAGGATCTGAAATCCAGACCACAGATAAAGTCAAACCGCGATGAACGGCGGCGTTGAAATATCACGGGTGGATACCGTCGACCCCTCCTCAGAGATCTCAGCCAGCCTGGAGCCACCCAGTTCGAGTGGCTGCTTAACTGCGAGCCAAGCCAGTGCTCTGGCAAGAACATGCGCATTCTCATTGAGCCTATTGGATCCAATTTAGATGGTCAAAGAGGAAACGCGAAGGTGCCGACAATTTAGCTGAATAATCGGAGACCTGCTCTATGTCGTGCGTGTCCAGAAGGAATCCACGGGTACTTTAGCAGCTTCTGTGAGCAACATGACAATTGTCGCGGCCATAGGTGTGTTACAGAGATCTTTTCTTATTCTAAACCATTGCCCCATCTGACCGACCGGCTGTTGGTCGGCAGAGAACATCTTGAGCATTCAATGTCCAGTCCGAAAGCCTTGTGGTGTCTTTCATCTTATCACCTTCCGCGAAGTTCGTTAAATCTTGCACTTGCACCCTGACACCGTACGGAGCAAGCGCATTGACGTCATATCGTCGGACGCCATGATGATATCGTCATTATCATTCTCATTGCACCTTCGGTCTGATTGCGACCTTTCCTGGACTGGCACGCCTCAAGGGCAGGAGCCGCAGAATTTTCTAGAGACTAATCTGTACTCTGCCCTACTCATAACTCATTTCCATTCATTCTATCGGTAAAGAAATTGACTCTCCCCCGAGACCAGATCAGGACATTGCCTTGGTCCTCTCACTGGAACTGCTGATAAAGCAAGGTGTAAGCATGCATGAGAGACCATGCAGATGCTTGTGTTTGTGCAATCCTCCCTCATTTTTCCTTCTCCCAGCCCTATCTCTTCATCCAGCTCGCGGAGGACTCTCTCGTCTCTCTCTGAGGATCTATTGGCTCTCTGGCTTGTGAGCATCTTTACTGTACTCTCGCTCTGGGTCCCTCCCGTAGATGGTGCTCTTTATCATCGGCGGATTGGATTCGTTGTTTCATTCGTTGTTTGCTCGGTACCGCTAGCGAACATCTATCTCAGAAGCGAACACGGTTCCACGAATTTTCTATTCCCATATTACGCAACTTTCTCTGCTCGGACAAGTGTTTACTTAATCTTCTAGTTATTGTGTGTATTTTTTTCTGAAATTCTTACATTTAAGATTGACCTATGAGTATTCTCTTACAAGAGCTTGATCTTACAATCTTACAGAAAACTAAAGTGGTAAATTTTCATGATGATGGATATTTTTTATATGATTCACAAATCAAATTGAAGTCTCAGAAAACCTTGTCGCTTATGGAATGTTCTTGTTGAATATGTTATACGTTTGACGGCTATGCGATTTCTTTTCTTAGTTGAAGATTATACATGTTGTAGTTAGATGCAACTAAGCATTGTTTTGTTGTTCAAAACAGTTGCATCTTTATGAAATTTCTTTTCTAGACATGATGATTAAAAGACAACAATAGTAACCCTAAACAAACAAGTTTCATGATTTAGATGAAAAAGTATAGTAGTTTGTCAAACATGAAAAGCACAACATTGTTTTTGCTCTCACAATCTTTAATGTAAAATTGTGATCTAACTAACAGGTATAAATCTATCAGAGAGCAAAAAAGAACATCTAGACATACATAACACATTCACGAGAACACTTAGATTCGGCGCGACAAGTAACGAGGTTGGTCTGCGGCTACTCCACAAGACAACACCAGTTTAACATATACTAACAAAATGTTTGGGGAGCAGCCTCGTCTCCCCACCCTTGGTAATCAAAACCAAACGAAACCGAATCCTAATTTAGGTTTTACTAAAAGTTAATAGATAGTCAATAAGAGTTAACTCTGACACTAATTATTTCACATTGAAAAAACATCTGTGATAAAGATATAGTTTAAATATCTAGATAATTTAGAATAGAATATAAATATAAATATTTCTTTCAAGATTCATGAAATTATTTGATATAATTTGATGTACACTAAAATCTATTTGAATAAATGTCTTGAAATTTTTAAATTTTACTTTAAAAAATAAATAAATCCAAAGATTCTAAAATTACACGATAATTAAAATATAATTTACTTATCATAAATATAATAACATACATATAAATCATAAAAATCTATTTTTTAGATAATACAATGAAAACAAAAGTTAAATAAAAAAATAATATTGAAGTAAATTGTAGTTGTAGATTGTAAATTAAATACATAAGTAAAAACTTGTCCAATCAAAGTTTTTAATATTCCATATAGTTTTATTATGTATGATAAATTTTTTTGATGGTTTTATACCTTAAATACATTAATACAATGCTTTCAAAAGGATGATCTTCATAGATTATTAATCTAAAATATTGAAAACATATTATTGATTAAATTTGAATTAAGAATTGATTTTTTGTCATTTTATAATAAGGAATTAACTGATTTGTTATCATTTCAAGTTTTTTTGTAATTTTAATTTTTATATTTACTTTCAAAATAATATGCTTTCAAATAAATATTTATTATAAATATGCGATTTTTATTATCAATTTTCATTATATTAACTTCAATTAATTTTCACTATATGACCTTCAAAATATAGATGTTTAAATTATAAAAATGTTGTTTAAATCAATCAAAATATGAAATATTTTCATCATGATACTAGAAAAAAGTTTGATTCATTTTGAGATATTTTTTTTGAGGAACTAATATTTTTTCATATTCAAAATAATAAATTGTGTTGTAAATAATTTTGTAAAGTTTGTTCATATAACAATGTTAAATCATTTAGACTAATCATGTGTCAGTCTAAGACGTGCAAGATAACCATAGCTAGTTAACATTAAGACCTAGAGTAAACACAGAAACACGAAGATAACATGATTCACCCAGGTGCGGGTTAAATCCACAGTTGAAACACGCGAAAGTCAGTATATTGCAATGATAAAAAGCACATTATAGTCTGAAGTCACTGGATTAAGTACTGGGTCGAGTATGGGGCTAAGTCACCAGGGTAAATACTAAGTCTTGGTGACTTGATGACCTTTTTAGCTATATTTAGTTAGGGTTGACATTACACCTTAACGGTTTTTAACCTCAACAATCTCCCCCTTAATTCATGTTAAAATATCAGCAATCTTCTTAACCTATGTTATTATTTTGCAATAAGTTCTAGAAACATAGCTAACACAAGGCCCCTTTTGTCAACTAGAGTTAACTACAATTAAACCCTAGACATAACATGATAAAGAGATAATATAAAGAGGTAAGTAATAAACCTGCTAGCATAGAGGAAACATTTACTCTGTAACCTATATAATTACTTCAAAAGAAACCTAACACAAGGATATTTTTTATACCAAAAGTTAACTAGAATTAAAAAGTAGCCATCACGAGATAGAGTAATTACATAAAGAATTAATTGAAGATACTATACTAGCTAACTCTATTTGTGCTTCCTATGCACAACCTACATAAATAGCACAATGTCCCTTGAAACTCTTCAAAAAAATAACTTTGTTCAACATATAAGTTGGATTGAGTTTATCGTCTATCTTGACTAACTTAATTGTTTTATCACACACTACTTGTCTGATAAAATGATACTTGATGTCGATGTGCTTCATCTTGCTATCCATAATCTAGTTCAAAGCCAAATGTAGAGCACTCTAGCTATCATAATGAAGATTGACCACGTTTTGTGTCAATACTATCTTCATGATAAACATGTCCAACCAAATAGCTTCATTTGTTGGTTTTGAAGTTGTCACATACTCAACTTCCGTTATCGACTGAGCTACGCGCTTTTGCAAGGTAGATCTCTCACTAATGCTTCCAACGCCAAGTGTAAACACATACACGGTTGTAAATTTTCTTGTCGTGCAAATACCTATTGTCATACAACATACATCGCTGACATGTCAAACTCACACATACACACATATATGATAAAAGAGAATACACATACACACATCTATCACAACCGAACACACACGAGACATCACATCACATAGAGATCTCGATACAATCTTCATCGCCCACTTTGTGCTCCGGTAGTGAACTCTCCATTGATGCAATCATCTTTTGCCTACAGCGTCCACGGTACCATCTTGTTCATCAAATTGCAAAGAGGAAGTTCACGCCGTGCAATCGCCCTCCACTTCACACTATAATTGATGCAGTAAATAT